ATTCAAATTCTCATTGTTATTGTGTGACGAATATATATCTGGTTCCCCTTTGTACCAATATTTATGTGTTCAAATAAATAAAATATAGATGATCAGTTAATTACATCGTACCATATGATACTTTCTCAACAAAAGAAATCACTTTTAAATATCGTATAATTTAACATCATTGATACATATAATTAAGATATAAACAAATAGTCACTGTAAGTTCTACAATAATCATCCATGTTGTATGTAATACCGACTGAATAAGAGAAAAAGAAATTTTTTATTCTTAAGGAATTTAAAGGTTGTCATGACAACTGATATCACTAATCAAATTTATAATCAAATAAGAAAGATAATCGCTTAATTAATTTTGTCTATTTAAATAAGAAAACCATTAAAAAAAATATATCAAATTATTAATAAAAATGTAAAATAAGGGATATTTTCTTTTTATAAAGTTAAATGACTTAATCTAATATACAATGGAAATGTTTTCAAAATTTTACAAGTACCATTCATTTAATTGTGTTTTAACTATGAATATGAATATAAATAATACATGAGTCACATTGTAACAATTTTAATTTAGGCAATTGGAAACTTTCATGTTATTTACAGTTGACTAAATTGATTAGTAAAATAATTTAAAAGGTGATAAATCTCCGATGTATATCTATCTATCTATCTGTAAAAGAGAGAGAATATTTTCATTTGTAATTAACATTGGAACAAAAGCTACTCAACTGAGAACGATTAGGTTGAATGATTAAATTCAGAATGGTATATATATATATATACATATATATGCCTATTTTTCCTCACCTTCTGTTCTCAGTGTTACATTGAGATATTGATTATTTTCAGTAATACTGTTGGTTAAAGTAAAATTGGTAATATTTTAATAACTGTATAGTAACTTGGTATTTTTCCCTTTTGAATTTTTTTTCTTTTCAACAATTAAAATACTTTAATTTGCAGAATTTTATGAAAAAAGAAATAGAATGAAGTAAACAAAAATCTTGAATCAGTCCTTGGTGAGACTATAATTTATGGACGATCTTTGAGCCACGCTAGACTGACATTGACAGTGTCCACCTGGTAAGTAGGACCGAATGAGAGTTATAAATTAGTGTGATAAATTTTAATTATGATTTACAGTTGATGGTTAAGGTTAGGAATTAGATTTAAGGTTTTCATCAAGAACTGACATCAGCTATAATGCCGAGACTCTATTTAGCTAAATGGATGAGCGGATTTCGTGCCGAAATCCGAGACCTGTTATCTTATACCTGGTTGGTTCGTTCATAACTTCTCGCCTAGTCTTTTCATTATAAAAATTAGTAATAGATAATTTTAGTACACCTTATTTATGGAGATTGTTGAATTTTATAGTCTACATTATCATATACTCAGTGGTGATTAATTTAATATTCTAGTGGGATATTGTGACCGACGGAGTTCAATCAGGTAGAGCATGAAACAGTTATTCAATAATGAACACGTAATAAAACAAACTGATGGAAGTTATAAATTAAACCATTGAATACCGACCCAATAGTTTAAAAGGCTAATTTCTAACCACTAAGCCTGAAGGTTTTTGGTTTGATATCTGAGACAGTCGGTAATATGCATTATTGTGTAGGCCTATACTAGGACAATATAGCTGTCTACTGTTTGTGGGTTTGTAATAGTTATTTAACTAACGTCAACCTATGATGTAAACTAAAGTGCAACCATGCCTTCTATATATAGTTCTCAAAAAAATATCTTTATAAAATAATTTGATATCGCCTATAATGAACAATTGATTTTCCTTTCATCACAAATTTCATTTGAAATAACAATCATTAAATGTTACTATTCTGGATAATCAAATCATATTACTTACTTTAATCGAGGTTTTGTTATCTAAATGTAGGATTTCAAGCAAAACAATTGACTAACTCCTAAAAAACCCACCAATTAGTGTGCTAATTGCTGATAAATGAAATTCAGATAACTATTTTTTCTATAAGGCGATTTATTGAACTCCATGCAGAATTCAACCCGTATTCATGGGTAATAAGTTTAATTCTCAACGAAAAATATCTAAACGACTGGTACGTATAATGAAATCCATACATTTATTTGAAAATCCGAACATTCATGTCGTTTACAGCGCTGTGTAGTCTCAAATTTCTGCTGAGATCAAATGTTATGTTGACTTTTTCTAAATCTCAGTAATCACCACTAAATGTAAAGAAAATAAGTAGAATTAGATTATATCTAGAAGCAGAATAATCAGACTGGATTATTGACAGTTCTATATGTCAATTAATCTAATGTTTTAGCATGTCATAAAAAGAATAAAAGATAAACTTATTTGTTTCCATTGCTTCATATTTAGTGTACATATTTATACTCATTATTTTATAAAACGAGTATTCCACATAACATTAATATCATTCTTAGCTAGTCCGTTAAATTCATAACTAATAACTTATTTTTACTGATCTAACATATATATATATATATATATATTACTAAATAATAACTATGTCATTATAAGTAGTAATGTATCCATGAAAAGCAGTTCTTTTATTATATCCACGTTCTAACTTTTTACACTACCACATTATATAATATAATTACATTATTAACTGAGTTCGAAACAGTAATGTATAACGGCGAAAATGAAAGAAACACAACAAGATATAAACCGGCAACTAAATTTTATTCATTACTGTTAAATATCATTAATAATCTCTGCATTATTAAATGTTTATTATTAGTAATAGTGATTAATAAAAATTATATAATTTCTTCTGAATACAGTAGAAAATTAGCAAACATTTATTGATTAAAAAACATTTATAAATCATCAAAACTGTATAGATATTTCATGGTTATTTTTAGTCTTTCTATTTGTTTTTACTTGTATCTTCCCATTGTTATTTAGGACTGCAATTGATCAGTCTCATACTGGCATATGTGCATCCCGTGCGAACTGCCTCGATATTGCCTTAAATCAAAAGCTTTATTAGCAAAGATGGATAGTGGCTAGCAGTGGAATCCAGGATGTGTGTTTCGTCCTATTTGAGACTCGTTTGTTGGATTTACCTACATCTTAGAGTTTATGTTCACTCTGGGACTCGAACCCAGTACCGTTCTGTTTGAATGCCATCGTGTTATCCACTTAGCTACTGAATTCTGATAGCCACCTGCTGACGAGTCCCAAATAGACCGAGAAGCGCGTCCTGGATTCCACTGCTAGCCACTATCCATTTTTTTTATTTGCATGTTTTTATTTTCACTAGAAGAAAGTTCTCACTATTTCATACTGTAAGGCTAATATATAATTTTGCTTTCAAAGAATCTTTGTATGACTGTTAGAAATCGAGAAAGAAAGCCAGACAATTAACTGGTAGACAATTAATTCTATAGGTATCATTACAAAGGTTTGACTTGATAATTTCGAATAAATTGGGTAGATTGTTATAAATAAATTAATATATTTGTAATATCCCAATGAGTAGAAAAATTAAATTTTCTGACGTTTCGTAATTCAGTGTAAGCCACTTCTTCAAAGAATAAATAACCAAATAAATGACTGAAGGATTTGGTTATTTATTCCTTGAAGAAATGGCTTACAATGAATCACAAAACGTCAGAAAATTTGATTTTTCTACTCATTGAGATATTACAAATATATTAGTTTAATTAATTCTATAGTCTGAAAGATGTTAGTTTAACTGTTTTTCTACCTTACCATACAATATCACAGGTAGAACTATTAATTCATTGATTATTTGATAACCTTTATCTTTACAAGTTAGATGAATTATTCATGATTTGATAAGTAATTCAACTATATTATCTTTTTGATTAATTCAGTTTCTTGAGAACATTTTTTTGTTAACTAAAATTTAGAAATCTTTTTCATAAATAAACGATTATTTCAGTTAATTTCATGTTTATATGAACTTTTGATTATTATTTCATTGATCACATTATTCTAACATGATTATATCAAATTAAAAATTTGTTAATTGAATGTATTTAAACATGATCAAAATAGATTGTTGAAAGAAGGGATTCATTCATTTTATATATTCAGAAATTTATGACTATCAACATTATTAACAATAGTATTTTGAGAATAATCAAAATGAGACCTTCGAATTATTAATAAATTAATTCATTTGAGATCATCTCAATACATAGGGGAAATTTTATTGGTATCACTGATTATTCAATCAGTAATACATAACCGTAAATATGTATATAAATATATATGTATATATATATACAATAGACGTGATAACGCCTACTCAATCTCTTTCAGATACATACATATCTATACATATTTTAAATGACTAGCTAACTAAGTATTCAATGGTAAGAAAAGAAAAAAAAAATACAATGAGTTTATTCACTTAAGTCTATCGATAAGTATATGAGATAATTCTTAAACTTATTCTTCTGCCTTTCAATGATTTAACTGGTTGAGTTTAGAAATTTTCATCTATTGGTTCGCAGAATATTAACCAATCTATCAAAATTGAAAGAAAATTCTGTATGTATTTTTTGTTGTTTCCTATTGAGCATGAAGTAATTCACTACTCAAAAAAAAATTTTTTTTTAAGAAAATAAAAATGATTATTTCACTTTAGTTTATTCCATGGTACTTCTTTCTCTCTTTTTTTGTTTTTGAAAACATTCTTCCGGAGTATTTAATATTATAATTAAAAGATTTCACACTATTGAATAATTATAATAATCACAATACCCACGATAGTTTCTGAGATTTTACTTTCATTGAATGGTATCAATCTCCTGTTTGAATTCACCTTCTATAAGGAAAAACTACTACTACTACTACTACTAATAGTAATAATAATCAAAACATCACAATCTTATAATATTAATAACTGTCAAGAGAATTTAAATAAAAGAACTACGATTACATAACATTTTAATGAATAAATAAGTCAAAATTATTATTGTTATCACTATTATTATTATTTGTAATGGAAATAAATAATACTAATACTAATATGAATACGAATGGGGAATTATCGTTAAAAGAACAAATACAAGGGAAAATGATGAAGTAAGTATATTCTTTTAATTATGATTTGAATAAGCTTATTGTTGCTGGTATTTTCATGTATATGACTGAATGTTTAGATGTATAAGAGTATACTTATGCAAACAAAACAACTAGCGTAATGAAATTTAAATAATTTATTTTTAATAATTAGTTTTATAAAAAATGACAGTTTGTATGAAAGATCTGATATTTGAATGTGATTACTTGTAAACTGTTTACATAATTTAAATGTAAAGTTGGTAAGAGTCTAAATGTATCTACGCCAAATAATCACTTGGTGGATATGGAAGATCCATCTAGGTGAGTTGGAAAATGCTTATTCCAAACCAGTGGTGCACATGGGCTCCAGGGTCCTGAGGGAACAAATGGCGTACGAACCAATTGTTGGTTATCGGCTACCATGGGACTGCTTCTCCTGACGTTGCTCCACTACCTTGTGGATCAAACCTTTGGGTTGAAGGCACTGGGTGTGGCCCCCTAGGAAAACCACCTGCTTCCGTTTGGGCACCCGGGCAGTATCACGTTTATATATTTGGTGTCCCTTTGTACCAATATTAATGTGTTCAAATAAGCAAATAATAAATAAATGACGAAATAGAATTTCAGAGAAAATACTATTTTATTCCTTAAAGGTGATAATTAATATCAATATGTCTGGGATATGAATATAATTTTTATTTATAGGTTAGTTCTAAAGCTTAAGTAAATATTCTGCATTTTCCAAAGTACAGTTTCTTCCAATTTTTCTTGTCTGCTTATAACGAGGTGTTTTAGTTTTTAGTGCTATGTCAAGCATACATGGGTTATTCTAGCTTCCAAAGAGACCACTTTATTTATTCTTCTTGAACCATATTCCGACCTTGTCAATTATTTGCTTATTAACCTTGACTGCCTCTACATGAAGGTATGTGTACGTATTGCTTACCTTATCCATTACGTGTCTGCAGCTTATTTTGTCTGGCTATAAATATTAACTGATAATAATGCTGAAAACAAGAATACTGAAACAAAATTTGTGAAATATTTCTCAGTTTAAGATGCTCAATGACAAATGTTCTATCATTGAACTATCAGGCTCTTTGTAAGTACCGAACCAAATTGGATAAAGTCAATATACCACTATCTAAATCACATGTCTATTTTCTTTCAATGCTGATCAACCGTTAACTCTAATATTCAACAGAAATCACTCGATTACAATTTATATAGACAAACCATGCTTGAGTTATTTTAGAAACTTTGGTGCTAATTAGGCTATCATCAAGTACAATGACGAAGTTTTTATTTGATTAAGTATGGTAAAACTTAAGCAATGGAGACTTGAAAGTCATGAAAAATTCTTTAAATCTAAGGTTCGTATGTGTTATATAAATTGTGTCCCAATGAGTAAGAAATAAAATCCGCCTTTGTATAACTCCTTCTGAAATAAAAAATGGACCATAGAATTTGCCTATAACATGTGGTATTCAATAACCCTATGAAGATATACTACGTTTTCCTTTCAATAGTCTTATAATCGATATTTTCCACTTCATGTACAGATATTACAAACGTACCTATTTCCTATACTTTTTGACTGAAACATATGTGCGGACGTTCTTATATTAGTTAATATCTTTCCTACTGAGAAAATTATTCAGTCGATAAATCATATACAAGCAATTTTATGGGAAAATGTCTCGTGGTGACCAAGATACCATCAAGTCACTATCGGTCAGTGGTTAGCACTTTTTAACTTCAGGTGATTCGTGATACAATGCAGTTTTCATCTTTTATCATCAAAGGATAGTTAACTTCATCTCTGTTTGATGCCCCCTCCTAACAGATCATCATTTTGTCATCTCACAGCTAGTAACAAGTGAGCAAGTAATTATTATTTGGTCAGGTAGTTTTACGATGAGCACATACAGCACTTCTTAAGCGTAAATAAAAGAAAACCTGAAAATCAGTCTTTCTATTCAGAACTGTTTAGTGTAAATACAACCGTAATAATATTTTCAGCTAATATGTTAGGTGATTTTGGGTGAAAAATAGTCTGTTTATTCAAAATTCTAGGATACCTACTCTTCAACTCTGAAAATATCCCGATAGCGTTTTGTATTTTAGATTTTCTTGCTAATGGCCTAATCTACTCTAGTGCCTTTATAAAATTTGTGGAATATTGTGATAATCATTGGTAAACTCAAGCGAAACCACCAAAAGGGTTGATATATTTTTTACGAAGTATGTTGTTTTGATAAAATAGAGGAGATAACGACAAGGTTAACGTATTAAATACTTTACAAGATGATAGATGTCAAAGAAGAAAAAGGGATCAATAAATGATTGGCAACGAATCTTTTGAAAACGATTTTGTCCCTCGTATACTTTGTATTTCTGCAAGCTTGATTCATATTGAATTAGATACATTGAATGACATAGTCAGACATTAAGTAATTAATAAAGTGATTACTGTTAAAATCAAAGAAACCCTGGATATGAGTTTCATGCTGCCAAGAGCTCATATTGTTTTTGCTTTTCTGTTATTTCAAGAGGACTGCTACACCTGTTTATGTTTCAATCAGAGTTGCTCAATACTACAGCCAGAGATGTTACCTCTAACCTATTTAGAACGCAGTCGAACTCCTGTAAGGCTGAGCAGTTATCGATTTCATGCTTTTCTAGTTCTCATTGCTAATCGAATCTCGTGAATCTTATTTGTTTGAAGGTTTACCGAAATTATTTTAGATGATAAACATGGTCATTCATTCTCTCAACAATTATAGTAAGAATAATTTTTTCAATGGAGTTTGTTACTTTACACGTTTATTTTCATTTACTACTCTCCATGAACCTTAAACACCAAATCACTCAATGAATTTAGTATTAAATTTATTATATTCTATTATCTTGATGGGGTTTTGTTCTCTGAGCTGGATGGTTTAGTCGTGGAGCTTTCATCGTTCTTCTGAACGACATCATCAGCACAAACTTCAGATAGAAGTAAAGTGTTTGAATTTCTCCATATGTGTCTCAAAGCTTGTTCTGTGCACCTCGACGTTGATTGGTTCTTATTGACCTTAAATTTGTCGTTGTTTACTTCTTTGTTTTGGTTGTGTCTCCCATTGTTTTGATTTTTGTTCTTAGGTTTGTGCATGATTTTTCTGATTGGTTGATAAATTGGATTGATTTCAATATGCTTGTTGATTGCTGATTGACCCGAGTGCCAGGCTTCTAAAAACTCTCTGATGTTTTTGGAATTTCCTCTGTCCAAGATTTCCACATTTTTCCAATCGAATGAGTGTCTGCAGTTGTTCACGTGTATTGATATAAGTGAGGAAGTATCATGGCGTTTGACTGCTAATTGATGTTCATGTAGGCGAAGGTGAAGGGGGCGTCCGCTTTGTCCGATGAAAGCTCCACGACCAAACTCCATCAAAATCATCCACCTGAGCTACAAATCTTCTCCACCATTCTATTATCTAGTCAAGACAAACTATGGATATCTATGAAAACATTTTAAAACAATAATACACAGTGTTGAGTTGCAAAACCGCAGACAATTTGAAATATTCAAGTTGAATTTATAAGAATTCTCGTCTAAATTTGAACGAATAATTTCACAGTAGTTAAGTCCTTAGTTAATATGGGACATTAAGGTGGGAACTATATTTATAAAAAATTAGTTTGTAAGTCACATGTAATCTATCCAGTTTACATTCAGTCTGTAAGTGTTAAATGAATAAGTTTATGATAGATGTATGTTATATTTCACTTACAAATCATATAAGTAATCTCCAGTAGACTAATGCATAAAACATATTCTATTATCAGTACTTAACAAATTAAAAAGGGAAATGTGGGAATATGGTAATTCACAGTCACATATATCACATAAACACGCTTCCTGTAACATTTATTTATTATTTTTTTTTGAAATTTCAATCATCTCATGTTATCCGCTAACTATAAACAAAAGACTTGAATGATTCAGTGAAATTTATTCCTTTTCTTCAAGATGTAGACAACTGATTTCGATTACAAAAGAGTATAACTAAACAAAACAACTAATTTCCTGTCATTTTCGCTTGATTGTTTAGTTTATTCTTATTTTATACTACAACTGCTAATAAACAATCCTTGTTAATCTCTTATTCAAATATACTCGAGATAACAGTTTTATCAATAATAACGATGATGATAATGATAATGACGAATTATATTGTTGTATTATGTGTAATTAGGTCAAATAAATCACTTCATTTTATATAATAATCATTACGTTTTTTTTTTAAGAAATAGATATGAATGGGTGAATGTATCCATACTATCAAAGATTATCACCACTTATTTCATTGAATAAATTTATCACACAGATTCTATCTTGTTTTTTTTTGTGTGTGTCTTAAGCCTTTTTTCTTCATTCTTTTGTGTTTTATTTGATGGTTATTCAGTTTAACTGTAAATCTTTAGATTTATCCCCCTATTCAGTCACATGACAAGTTACATGTATGAAACTGATTCATAGTTGAACACTAATCTAAAGTTTAATTCTCATCAATGAGTCATCTAGAAGTTACTATGTTATTTGTGAAAAATTTTTTATTTTAAGGATAAATTTATTCTTCGTTGTTTATTTTGAAGTGAAAAGTTTTCATCTTTCTCAAAAAAAAATATAGATTAAACAAACTTACTTAACTCATCAGGATATCTGTTTATAAGCTTATCAGTTATCACCATGAAATGCTAATCGGATATTATTAAAAATACGGTAGCTGTCTATACTCATATATTTCAAAATCATACATCCTCTTAAATTCAGAAGGTTGAGAAAGTATAACGAAAACTATTTAGTCGACAAGACTTCAAAAATTTCATAATATCTTTATTACAATCACTATACTGTGTTTAAATGGAGAAACTAAACGAATTGACAAAATATTTTGTATGGTGAAGGAGATTTCATAACTGCTGATAAAATATTAAGTTTGTTTGATAAATAGATCCGTGTTGTATCAGAG